TTGTAACTTTTAGAATGCAAAACAGGTCTCTTCCATTTGTATGTATATGTTGTTCTTTTTTGTTACTGTTTTCTGTGATAAATATAATCTTACAATCGTGTGTACGTTATTGATTGCAGAGACACTCGCGAATAATCAGTGTATTTGAATAAAAAGTAAATGGTTACATTGGTTTTGATTAAAAGGTTTTTGTATATCGGGCAGTCATACAAGTCCTCTACAAGTTCAATAATTTGAAATGACACGAGCCTTAAAGCAAATTATTAAATAAGTTAAATAGTTTGCTTTAAGGCTCGTGTCATATCAAATTATTGAACTTGTTCAGTAAATTCAATATAACATGAACACTCATGTGATATTCTATGTACATGTACACTGTTGATTATAAAAGAAAATAGTAGAGGACTTGTAGAACTACCCACTATACAAAAACCTATTAACCAAACCAATGTAACCATTTACTTTTTATTCAAATACACTGATTATTCGCGAGTGTCTCTGCAATCAATACCATTTTAATAACCGGTACATTATGTTTGAGTCTACGTGTGATGTAAAGCATAGGCATTGTCATATTCATCGAACTGCAAGCTGAATGTCTAAACTAATCAGATGTCTCCAGCTTGGTAAATTTTACGTCTATAACTTCCTTCCTTTTTCCCTCCCGATGTTCAGTTTTACAGGTTTTCTATGCCCCCTAACTACAGATGATTTCGTCATTTACTTTTGCAGAAGCTGTACACATAGGAGATGCATTTGTGATAAATGAGTAAACTGATATGTTCATCTCTTTTCTAAACGGACAATGCACTACTGATTTAGATGGGTGAACATTTAGTTTAAGCTATTTACACTGTACTGTAACGATAACACTGGTGGTTGTAGTTGACTCCCCGGCAATATTTCCAGCAGTACATCTGTATGTCCCGTGTTCTGATCTGACGAGTTGTTTCAGTGACAACACAGCTGAGGCAGTAAAGTTGGTTTTGTCAGGTTTTATCCAGACAAAGGTACAGCCAGGTCTACAGTCAGCAGTACAGGTGATGTCCGGTAACGTTCCCCCCTCAGTCCTGGTGTAGGTTGTGTCCGGTGGGGAGATTGAAATAGACGCCCCAGGACCGTCTACAAGATAAACACATACACATCACAAACTGACTAGAAGTCAACAGTACCCATGATCGCAGGATACCATACATAGCCGATGAATTCCTAGAAAAATAAGTTATTGCTTATATTAATGTCTATTTAATTCTTAAATACAAACAGCTATATATGTCGGTCAATATTATATTGTTCTATCGGCAATATTGTCAGGCATGAGCTATTTATTAGACATCACCTGTTTTAGTCCTGGTTTATCTCAATATTTTTATATATCTTACGTGTATTTCTAAGACTAAGACTTATTTCAGAAGAAAACACCTTTATAATTGGTTTTAAATTATACTTGTTTGTGACCAGTGCGATGTATTGTATGTAACCTCAAATGATTGTTACTCAATTGTCAAAGAGAAGCGATGTTTTTTTCGAATGGTAAAAATACATGGATCCAGTGAAAAATAAATTGTCCACCTAAATGTGAGTTACTGGAGGTGGGGTGGGGAGGGGTACTTTTACCCCTTGGACAATAAACCATTACGATTTCAAACCGTTTTGTTTGAGATGAAAACTCAATAGAATCAAAAGGTAAAATGTATCAGTAAATACTGGTTTTTGCTTTGTTTTTCACTTTAATGCTTCTACAAGTGTGAACATTTTTTCTTGTACGATATCAATGTCACGTTTTTGATCAAAATTGACTTATTTTGAGTTTAAAATGAATATGTTTACTTTCTTTTAAACCACTTCGTAAAACGGCTATTCACTGGATGATGAGGTAATAGATATAATCCTCTGAAAAATATTCTAGCATCAATCATTTGTGGTCACTGACAAGATTAGTTATAAAAGCATGGTATATTGTAAATTAATACAAAAATAATTAAATATATTATCTTTTGTATTTTCCTAAACAATGAACAAATCATACTATGTTATTCCTATGATAATTATATCAGTCATGTCATCAAGTGAAAGAACCTGCAATAAGTATGCTTATATACAGAGCTATCAAGAGACAGGCATGTCACTGTTATTAATACATACAGTTTACGGTAACACTGATGTCACTAGATGCCCTATTCCCGTATCCGTTACTGGCCGTACACCTGTACACTCCCGTCAGACCACGTTGTATGTTGGTGAGCTGGAGATCTGACCCTGTTGTGTGGGACTGTCCATCCTTTGTCCAGCTGTAGGTACAGACTGGGTTACAGTCAGACAAACACGTGACGGTAGGGAGAGTCTGTCCTTCTGTTAAAGTGTAGGATGCAGTCGACGGGGTCAAACTCACAGTTAAAGGACCATCTGAAATGTGTTAGTATTGGTAGCTATACTCTATAAAGCTTAGACTTCTTAAAGTGCCAATTTCACGTTCAGTATACAAATACTGATTCTCTTTGATGTGAAATTGTGCTCATGAGATTTAAGATTAGGTATTGTTAACTGGTAAGAAGTGTAACATAAAGCCCCAGTCACACTGTGCCGGTATATAGTCACTGTTAGCTTCAGTGGTGTAGACCGGGAAAAACCCCGGGTAATCCGTAGCGAGTTCGTATTGAAGCTGGGGTAATCCGTGTTTATCCTGGGTGATTCGTAGCTCGCTACGGTAGTTTAAAACAGTCTAAAACATCCGGGGTCAACCATAGCCGAGCCACAGTAAAAAAAAAAAATGTAGTGTCACCGTAGTACCACCGGTCTTTCCGAAGGACCGCCGTAAAACCGCCGTGCAAGCTTCCATGACCATCCAGGGGTGACCGTTGTGTTCGGGAGTCATGCCAACTCACAGCAGCACTAGGGAGACTCATGGCAATACTACGGTGTCATTACGACCACCACCGACCGCTGTACGGTGCACCGTTGTCTAACACGGTATGTGCCGTTCATTATTGTGACACTACGACGATCCACGGTTTCTCCATGATTTCCAAAGTACACTTCGTCTATATTACGGTGGTACTACGTTTGTTGTACGGCAATGACAGCAGAAATAAAGTTTGTAACAGTCCGGGTCAGTGTTCTATAATTTGGGAACAAAATCTGCTACAACTCACATGACAACAGCCTTCGAAAGGCAGAAACAAACTTCAGCTGATGAACTGGCTTCTAGAATTGAACATGTAGCAAGTTGCAAACTACATGGTGATGGTCCCATTTATTCAGCAACGAAGAACAAAAAGGGTCTTAAGTTAGTTTGAGACTTCCTTCTCCTTTGGTCCGTAAAAGAAAAACGATTTTGAGTTGGACAATGTGTTCCAATATATATAGTCCCGGGGCGTCACGTGACAAACCGTAGCGTTACCGCCGGACACCGTGAGGGAACCGGTAATGACGTAGCGCCACCGTAGTAACCCGGACAAACCGTAGGCTCACCTTGACAATCCGTGATGATACCTTAGTGGAACATGGTTTTATCTTGGCCTATCGTGGTATCGGAGTAGTGTCGGCATCTACCGTAGTGTAATATTATGAACACCTTGATAGCCGTAGTAGTACCCAAGCAACACTGTAGATTATCACAATTGGAGAGATGACCAAGGTTTGCCACCTGATATAGAAACCGGGAACAACCGGGGTATACCGTGGCCAATAACGTGACAGAGTGACTGGGGCTTTACAACTGAGTTGTGTATATCAGAGGCGACAGTTAGAGTATGTAAACAATATCCCATTTTTTTACCTTTGGCATGTGGTATTGGAGTAGTGTCATGTTGATATAAAATAACCTTTTGCTTCAGAACTTCAGAACTTCAACTCTAAAGTTAACGAACACTAATTTATATAAATAAACTACAGAACATTTTTGTCGAATGGATGACAGGTATTACTTCGTCAGTTATTTTCTCCGTGATAAAAAATCTTGATCGAACGGGTGACGGGTAAAACTCAAGTTAACCTGCGTTTTTTACAATTCAACATGTTTTAAACCCATACTGTTGTTATTCGACACCCTTAACACTTCAAAACACCAATATGATATCTACCGTTATAAATACATTATTAATTTATGATTCTGAAGTCATGCAAAAGATTTCCAAATTTATAAGCTCAAACAATGTAGGTACATTTTGCATCTTTCGCTTCATGCAGCCGTCATTAGCAAACGTTTTATTTTATTGAATAATCAGTGATATAGATAAAGACAATTTATTGTTAATGACTTGGTTACGGCATTGTATAGATGTCTGACACAAGTTTAAAGCTCTATAATGCCGCATACTGTGAATCAATTTATTACAATGATTTCTATGATAGACACCTCTGAAAGCGCTTCACCCACAGCGCTTAAGCGAAAACTTAACTTATCCGATAATACGAAACATGTCCAATAATACAATGAACAGCGTCTACCTGGATATGTGTTCTGCCATTGTATTGTTGCGAATCATCGCACATTAAAATGTGGGCTAATACTTGGCCGCTGCGAACTTACAGCGAATGGTACCTTGTTCTGTTCAATTAAAATATTTAATTTCAAATTTAGCTTCTAATCATTTCCGTGGCGTCTTGATGCGCTTGCCCATGCGCATATGTCACATTTCCATAGCCTGTCAACACAAGGGGGGACTGTTTCGAGGATGATCTGCAACGTTTTATATAATGGAGACTTTTGACGAGACGCGTAGATTCTTTTGCAAAACAACTTGGGAAAATCAAGACATCTCAAAGTGAAATTCTTTAAGCTTAATTATGGATAATTAAGATTGATATGCCGAAAAGTTCGCTAAGAGAGAACCAGCATTTTATTCTTTGCTCTGAATATCAAAGTTACTCTTTTTATTGGTGGCAGCAAACATGTGATTTCGAATATGACATCGTCAGTTGCAAACAACAATGAAAAACCTTGTCAAACCTTGAGCCTAATATTTATCTAGCTATCTTTTACACTTTTTGAACACATTCTATATTCTTGAATCACGTTTTAGGAGCATGGTGCCGGTTTCGGACATCATGTTGAAGTTTGTATCTGTAAGAGTCATACCAAACTTAGTCATAATTATCATAACGTTAACAATGTTTTCAGGCTTAAACAATTTGACCTTCCTCACAATTCTAACCTCTTTACCGCTCTGCTGATTTAGGGTCATAATGCAACACTGCTTATTACGAAATGACCTTCGCCAATTTAGTATTAACAAAAACGAAAGTAAAGCCTATGGCTGTCAGTTTTGTTTAGACTTCTGGTATCCACTTATCATTCATTACATTATCTCATAGTAAAAGCAAATAATAAATAAAGAAAATCGGAGGAAAGTATCGAATATTATGATAAAACTATCAAAACACTTATATTTAGCCAATGGAGTTGAATTTTCCCATTGATAAAAAATAGCTTTAAAAAATAAATGTATAAAAAATACAAGTAAATAAGATCAGGTAAAATTAGCAGCAGTAAATATATTAATTTCACAGATGAAAACTTACATGATATAGTTACACTTGTAGCTGTGGTCATCTCTCTGACACCATTCCTAGCCGTACATCTGTACGTCCCGCGTTCTGATCTGTCCAGTTGTCCCAGTGACAACACAGCTGAGGCAGTAAAGTTGGTGTTGTCAGGTTTTGTCCAGACAAAGATACAGTCAGGTCTACAGTCAGCTGTACATGTGATGTCCGGTAACGTGTCCCCCTCATTCCTGGTGTAGGTAGTGCCAGGTGGGGACAGGGTAACAGTATCAGGACCGTCTACACAAATATAGATTGATAGAAATATAAGATAGTTCGGTAACATTTGGTGTCGGAAATATTTTTGCAACAGTTGTAAATAATTCACTGGATTGATTTTCTTTATTTTCACCTACAGTGATTTGGAACAATAGGCATTCGTGATAATTGCAATTGTTGTACTTATATATCAGTTATTCTAATGAAAAGGATTTTCTAGCTGGCCGTCCCTACGCAATTTTAATTAAATTTCCCGAGAAACTTCGCTCACACATTTTGTACAGGTATCTTTATCTTTAAACACGAAGTTACTATTAAATTACAGCAAAATCACTTTTCCCTCATCATAAGATTACACGTTAATAACAATGCATTATGTGGGTGATATCGGCGCAGCTCCTTTCCTGTCTGACACGCTAAATCACCTAAAATAGAACCCCTTAATATTCACAACGGTAACATATCTTCTTACAACTGTGATAAAAAATTGATATAAAAAAGTTTTAAACATGACATTACCAAATCGAATTAACATTTCATCGATCAATTTTCATCATGTTGTGAAAACAAACTTTATAATTATGATTTGTTTATGATAATCAAAAAACTATATTTTTGAACGTTATTTCTGTACATGTTATATAAGTATAACCATGTATGCTTTTTTACTGTGAATAAGCAGGCAGACTTTATTGGCAAATTACTATTATAACAACCGAAAGCCGCACAAAACACCATTTTACCAAATAAAAGTATACGCAAACTTTCATTCAAAAAGTTACGTTGTCTTTCACAACAAAATTTCCTGTTTACGCTAACTCGGAGACTGTGATCAGCTGATATGATATGCAAACAAACAGTGTAATATGGCGGCGGCTTGATTTTTCGCGGACTATTATGACGTCTCAAGGGAGTGGCCTCGTTCCGGGTCACGAAATATGCATAAATGAGAGGTCAACTCGTATGACCCAATAGTCGTGTCACTTCAATGTAACCAGACAACGCGTGCGGGATTGGGCGTTTTAATAAGGGTTTAAAACACAAATTTTTTTATAATACAGAATTTTTATTTTTCGTTCCACAAATCCTTTAAGGTTAATAGGGTGAATATTGACGAACAAATAGGTGTATACCTTTTTGGATATGTTTTGTTGGTCATATCATAATATGTATATAAGTAT